ATAAGTTAGAATATGTTGAAAGTCGTTCCATCTTTGATCTGTGCATGCTGGAAGTTGTGTGGATATTGACCAGACTATCAAATGGGCGTTTAACGTAAGACCCTTATTATTGAGTCTTTTATATTTTACAAATAATTTATATTTTAAAAAGAGTACTGTAGAAATTAACATTTTATTATATTTTAATAATAAACTATAAAAATTCTCCAAGACTTCTAATTCAGCCTAAAAAGAAATATATACCATTTGTGGCTATATAATAATTAAAAACTTATTAAAATTAAGAGACAATTAAAAGGGTAGTATCTAGTGTCAAATAATTTTGAATATTATCAAGTCATTTAAAAAAAGAAACAGCAGAGTTAGGATTTTCAAAGTCCTGGGCCATAAAAATCCTAGTATTCTTATAGTTTATGGATCACTATACTGTTATGAATCCATCTGAGATATGACTTCAAAATGAACATTCGTAGTTAAAGTGCTTCCAGATTAAAACTGTGAAAGCCATCAGCACATACTGAGGGGTTGGTCTTTTCCACTGTGTTCTTCTAGATTCATGGTTTACATAGTAGGTCCTTCCAAGGATATCCTGCCTCTCTTCCCATCCTGGAGGTAGAGGAGAAGGTTCCTGTTGTTGCTGCAAATGGCAAGCAGCATCTGGTTGGTCCAAAACAACCCAGCCAGGCTGAAAAACACGATGGTAGCAATTAAGTTTATGCACGATTTTTTTAACTTTAGAAATTATATGCTAAAGGAAATTTAAAAAGAGATTTATTATACCAAGTTTTAGAAATTACGCATAGACAGAATTAACAATCCTCAATTTTTAAGACCATAATATACTTTATGATAATGAAGACTTTTTTTTTGCAAAAATGGTAACCATTGAAATTTTGTCTAAAATTGTCCAAAACTTTTTCAAAAAAAAAACTTTAAAGGCACAAGCCTGTAAAGTTTCCACCAGGTTCTGCCTGGGTGACAGAACCAGACCCTGTCTCAAAACAATAATAAAACAGAACTTTAAGACAAATCTATTTAAAATTTTCATAACAAAAAAGTAATGAAAGTATGTGAGGTGACAGATTTAATTAGCCTGATTTCATCATTCTGCATGTAAGTATATACCAAAACATCACATTGTCCTCCATAAATATATACAATTATTGTTTGTCAATCAAAAATAAAATTTAAAAAAATCTAAAAGAAAAAAAGGACAAAAAATCTTTTAAATAAACAACCATGGAAAGTTGGAAAGCACTGAGAAATTGAGAAGCATAGTTTAAACCACTCGTGTAATCTTAGGCTATTCTCTAAATTATCAGCTGAATGAGGGCAAGGATTATTTCTCATTGGTCATTGTCTTTCCTGCAGAGAAAGCACCTTGTTTATGGTAGAAATCAATAACTATCTGACACATGGAAAAAATCATTAGATAAAGGTCAAATGCATAGAGGGGCAAGATACGGAACGGCAAATGATTTAGAAATAACTGCTACAGTGAATTCTCTAGTGATGGAAAAGTCATTCTGATTCCCTTGTCTGATTTCTCTCTTTCTCCTCCAGACCAAGGCAAGGCATTTTATCAAGTCATAAAACAGCCAAAGAAAGATTAAAAAAAAAAAAAATGCACTGGAAGTTTGGTTTCTCAGAGACTAACAAGGGGCAAAATTAACATAAAGCCTTAGTTAGGGCAGTTAAAGTAGGAACTGATAGAAAAGAGTACCAAGAGTTAATGCTTTTATATGAGAAACCTCATAAAAGAAAAGGCAGTTGGTCAAAGATTCTATTAAATA